CAAAGCCTCAAACCATGCAATCCTTTCATTTTGGCCCAGCATAGCGATTGCCCTTTTTCCAAGTCAAGGCATAATGGGTATCTTAGCTTGGCAGCTCAGTTTTATGTGTGCTTTTTACCTGTGGCTCTATAAACATATTTGACAACATTTTTAGAATTTTGACAAGACGTATACAGAGTGAGCCCATGTTGTTTAGCAGTTGTTGTATGTTTGGCTGTAGCGGGTTTGGATGGAGCGCTGTGTGTGTTGTGGTTTTGGACTTTGAGCTTGTGTTTGGTTGTGAGCGTGTAGGCAGGGAGGAAATGCTGACTGGCCGCAGTAAAGTGCTGACAGTAAAAGAGACAGTGCCTGAAATAAGACATGGATCCATAGAGACCAGCACATATTCAGGGAAGAGAAGAAAACACACATTGATTTATGCATTCAAAGACACTGCTACTATTTTCCAATCTATCTTTCTTATTTGATCTACTTCTGCCTTTACACAAGATCACACATTTACTCATTCTGAACTTTCACACACTTTCCAGGGCTGTATAATGCTATTCTCAACTCAGTGTGTGTGTCATTGCTAGTCTTTCCATGAATGATCAGAGGTTCAGGTACTTTCTTGGATGAGGAAATTCTGATGCGCCACGACGATCTAGTTTATTTCTCACACATGCTGGTGATTATGAAATGACTGTCTTTGTCTTATTGCCAAATTTCTGTTTATGGGTTTGTGTAGTTACTGTCAGGCCTACTTTACTTACTAATATGATGCTGCTAAAAAGAACATTATTTTGTGTATTTGGTGTAATGAAATGTGTTTATGCGGTTTAAAGTAAAAAAAACACATTATTTTCCACATACTGTACATTATTGTTTCTCCTCTATGCCCCGCCTTCTGAAACGAGTCGATTTTTACAAAGCTCATCGGTCTGAAAAAGCAAGGTGTGCTGTGATTGGCCAGCAACGGTCCTCCATAAAATGTGCTGCATACATCTAAATATTTGGGTCGAAGTGTTCTGGAACAGTGTTGTAAATACAACTTAACCACTGATTTGTAGTCGTGTCCTCTTTTGGAAGACCAAACAAAGTAGTTTCGCTTTCACAACGAAACACACGGC